AAATAAAGTGCGTCCGATTATACGAATAATAAAGCCGATATAATGACCGCTTAATTTGGCACAATGTCAAGCTGGAAAAAGCAGCAATCTAAAATATTGTTTTCCAATCATTTGTATTTTCTAATACCCCTGCGTGCATTCATATAGTAAATTATGTATATTAATAATAAAGACAGTATATAACGATGATTGATGATAATAGGGTGGTGATTATCATGTAGGTCAGACAGAATCCTTAAAGCAGAAATAAACCATAATTCCCTGTCTAATAGCTGTATCCTTAACTTTTCCCTTCATCAGTCATTAAGATAGCATAATTCAAAGCCTCTGTCAAAGTGACAGAGCCGTATTTCATAAAGGCGAGCACTAAACTGTTTTCAACTGAAAAAGGCTGTGATTGGGTTAACAGACGTGCATCTGTGATAATACCGTGCAAAGTAGGCGACTAGTATGTATCTCTTTAATGTTGCACAGTATCAGAACAAAGTGTCCGATGTTGTAATACACTGTCAAAAATAAATTGATGGAAGAAACAGCAATGCATGCAGTTTTGCGAATTAAAATACTATTTCTCTTAAAATGCAATCACAAATAAGCCATTGGTTTGTGGGTAAATAGTGAATTTGTCTCAAACAGTGGAAGTGTGATGTTAATTAAATGTTACTTTTCGAATAAAAAAAAAATTGACTTTTTTTCACGGAACCTGAAATTTATTTATTTATTTATGTATTTATTTATGCATTTATTTATTTATGTATTTATTTATTTATTTATTTATCTGAATTTTGGATTAGGCGCAACATATAAAGTGCATAAAAGATAATTTTGCATTACATTTAACTTGTGCAGTACGATTGTTACTGTTGCGACAACATAAAACGTTTGTTTAATCAGTTTTAGTCAAAACCGGCGTAATTTGGGGCTATATTTGCTAAATATCACGAATGATACAAACATCTTGAATTGATAACATAAAGAACGCGCTTTATATTTCACCGCTTTGAGATTTGCTGTGAAATAAACGCATGGTTTTTTTTGTATAATCAGACTGAGTGGAAATAAAGTGCGTCCGATTATACGAATAATAAAGCCGATATAATGACCGCTTAATTTGGCACAATGTCAAGCTGGAAAAAGCAGCAATCTAAAATATTGTTTTCCAATCATTTGTATTTTCTAATACCCCTGCGTGCATTCATATAGTAAATTATGTATATTAATAATAAAGACAGTATATAACGATGATTGATGATAATAGGGTGGTGATTATCATGTAGGTCAGACAGAATCCTTAAAGCAGAAATAAACCATAATTCCCTGTCTAATAGCTGTATCCTTAACTTTTCCCTTCATCAGTCATTAAGATAGCATAATTCAAAGCCTCTGTCAAAGTGACAGAGCCGTATTTCATAAAGGCGAGCACTAAACTGTTTTCAACTGAAAAAGGCTGTGATTGGGTTAACAGACGTGCATCTGTGATAATACCGTGCAAAGTAGGCGACTAGTATGTATCTCTTTAATGTTGCACAGTATCAGAACAAAGTGTCCGATGTTGTAATACACTGTCAAAAATAAATTGATGGAAGAAACAGCAATGCATGCAGTTTTGCGAATTAAAATACTATTTCTCGTAAAATGCAATCACAAATAAGCCATTGGTTTGTGGGTAAATAGTGAATTTGTCTCAAACAGTGGAAGTGTGATGTTAATTAAATGTTACTTTTCGAATAAAAAAAAAAATTGACTTTTTTTCACGGAACCTGAAATTTATTTATTTATTTATGTATTTATTTATGCATTTATTTATTTATGTATTTATTTATTTATTTATTTATCAATCAGTCAGTTGATCAATCAAATTGTTTGTTTGTTCTTTGCAAAAACAAAAACAAAACAACAACACATAAAACGCGCCAGACTGTTTTGCGCTCTACTCAGGTTTTGTCCACTGGGGGCGTCGTGTTCTTGTCAATCTTTCGGCTTCAGGTTGTGAAGTTACTGACTTTGTGAAAGTGGATCGCTCTCTGATTTCATCCAGCGTCCCCTGCGCGACACGTTTGGTATCAGATCGACTGCACTCGGACTCGTCTGTCTTCTTTTTGCATGTATCAGGGCAATGTGAGTCTAAATATGTGTCTTGATTCCTACATCGATATTACATCAACTGCTGTCCTAGTTTTCGTGCATGTTCATGCATAGCTGTTTCTATCTTAAGAGACGTCTAAGGATACTTTGAAAGACATTTTACGCGCATTTATACGTTGATAATGCTTTATAGTGCAACCACTTTCGTTTATTTTCGTAATTTCACAAGTAGGCTATTTGTATTAAACGAGTATCAAACGCGTCCCATTGATATAATAGGCTACATCACAAGAGAACACCTTTTCATTGGTTTGAGACGTGAATAAAATGTGTACATTGTACTTTCCTTATAAATATGAAATTGCATAACTTTGACTGGTCGTAAGAATGTGACTCTTTCAGATAAGTTGTTCTGTCTTGATATTAGTAACGCTAAATCGGTTCAAATGTTTTTTTTTTTTAGATATATATTCGTGTCTGTTACATATTGATAACCACCTCTCCTAATAGATGATGTATTCTGTTTTCTTCTGTACTCTTCTAGAAAGCAGAGCACAAGCCTTTTCGCAACCGCCCATTACCTGTGTGTGTCCCAAGAGGAGGACGCAGAGCAAACAAGAGAAGAGAGAATCTTTTTTGTCGGTCTGTCTCACTCTCGTTCCCACACACACGCACTGGTCTGATGAATTCATTCAATATCAAATGTGCATTTCCCCCCGAAAGTCTTCTGCAATGTTATGAACTGAAAACAACAAAAACGCACTCGACTAGGCTTGTTCAATTCAAAAGGCATGAATATCTCATACTTATCTTAATGTCCACGGCTGAACGTCCTATGTATGTCCTTATGAGCGGTTAAAAAAAAAGGTAGTCAAAAACAGCATCCTTTCCGAGCCCCAGTACATTTCCGAGGCCTGGGACATTCACCGGCATGCGGTCCACAGCCTCTCCCTTTGACAACTGCTCTATGAAACATCTCTGAGCTGATTTTATTTCTCTTATTCATTCCTAAAAATCGTAGGATGGGAATCTCATTAGGCCAAATAAGCGTGCATCAACACTTTTTCCGCTGTCCATAAGCAAGAGGATCACTTAATAGATCATTAACCACCAATATGCTGCTGACATGAGAGTTTTTCAGCATCTCGTCTCCATTAGAGAGAGAGAGAGAGAGAGAAAGCAGCAGCGGCGAGTCTGAGAGAATCAGAGCGCATGACTGTACGGGCCCGGTGCCGCGTAACGGGGGCCCGGTACCGGCAGACTGAACAGGTCTCCTCGACTGATCTGTGATCTTTTGGAGTGACGCGGTGTGATATCTGGCTTTTAGGGGTTTGTATTAGTAAACATCGATAATATAATTAGGCTAACAGTTATAGTTAAAGTGGAGATGCGATGCAGTGACATGTTCATTTTTTTCATTTTTTTTCAAATTCACAATAACCGACAGAGGGAAAAATAGTGATAGTGGATAAATAATTCGAATACAATTATATATACAACATATATTAAATGTGAAGGATCCGTGTGTATTGGTAAGCGGCGCTTAAACAATATAAACACGTGCATCATTTATTAGTGAATATTGCTGAATAAACTGACTGGACTGATTGTGTCCGTCATTTTTCGCGGGATCATTTCTGCGACTCGTTCGTTCTAATCATACCCGATCAAAGACGACAAGACATGATGTTAAATGGCGAATCTTAAAATTGCATTTTGCGTCAAATAAAAATAGCGAAAATGAAGGGAAGGAGAAAATGCAATTACATGAAGAAAGAAATGCATGTAGGAAATAAGTCTTTGAAAAAGGAATACAAACGATAGTTATTTAGTAGCCTACTAATTAGTCACATTGGCATTATACTTACCAATATTTAAGGCATTATATTTACCACATATTGCATATGACTTGTGCCTATCACAAATAACCAATAGTCTTAAACATAACGCTGTTATGCGTCACAGTGCGTCTTTTACTCTAAGACAACAGTTTTAGGTCTCAGCTTTTCAGTGCACAGTTATGCACACTATTTATTGATCCTCATTATTCCTCACAGTTTCTTCAACTCGCTTATCTTACAGTCTTGACTAGCAGTAGCGCACGAGAGGAGCGCGCGGCAGCTGAGCGCCACATGAGGGCAGCGTTGGGTGAGTTTTCCTGAATCTAGCGTCACCCGCAGCGCAGTTCCAGCCTTTCACATCAGCTCGCGCTGAACATACAAGAGTCAATAAATATCGCAATAACACATACACCTGATGGGTCCTCGTTCACGCCAAGCACCATCCTCATTAACATAATCTACAACGACGACTTTGAATATCTCCATGGTGTTTTGCAATAGCTTATGTATTTTAAGAAATAGTCTATGCTAAGTAATAAACCTTTTCGTTCTTGTAAATGACACAAACACGTATATGTTTGTTTAATTGAGTAATGTTTGCGCAGCGGATAAAGGCTACTATTATCAAGATTTATCGAGAATTGTATTGAAGTAAGCTATTGCGCAAACGTGGGTTGATGCAACAACCTGCTGCTGCATGTCACAGGCTGTATGGTCTATACTTTAAATAAAACACTTGCACAAAGCATCTCAAGGGTTGCTTTCATTTTAAACGCGCAATGAAACTAATTTAGCGCCTATGTGTTGTTTTAAATTCTAATAAAGGGAAAATATCTGGACGCAATAAATGGAGTAAAACTTTTTTTTTTTTTAAGAACGTGACGTTTTGAAAATATGCCCAGTTACAGTATGCTTGACTTTGCATGCAGTACAGAACAAATGGCTTCTCGTTAGGCGCGCACATATCCAATCAGTCAATACAAGAAATACCACTCTCTCTTTCTTCATCCCGTCAGCCGACAACACACAAACAACGATCATTATGCTAATTCTCCAGATCTGATTGGTCGCCAGGATCCCCTGACGTCACGCGCGCGTAGACTATAACTGCGCAGAGGGCTCTGGCGTCCTGCTACAGTCTGAATACTCAGGAGTGAGTGCGAGCTGAACTCTGCGGTGCAGAGCTGGACAAACACAGCACCCATCCACCTCAGCGCTGCTTCACTGGCTTAAGGACATATTTTGGAGTATCCGGGATCGGGACGGGAGCCCTTGTCCGGTACTCATTTTCGTCTTTTATTTATGTTTTGAGTGCAAGCGCGGCGACGGGACAGAGACTTGACTTTCTCCAGTCCTGCCTAAAGACTGCAGCTGTCGCGTCCATATGAGGCAAATGTCTTTCGCAGTGCATTAGTCCAGAAAGTTTTTTTTTAATTATTATTATTTATTTATTTCGCTTTCTCCCGTTTGAACATTTCGAGCGACTCTGCATGCTCCAGTGCTCGAGCGCGTCGCGTTCGGAGACCCATCCAGAAAACTGCATGCGCAAAGAGGGGGAAGAAAGGCAAAAGTCGGGTTTCGCGACGCTGGTGAACACTTTGCTGAAGAACAGGGACACGATGAGCGCCGATCTCGCCATGGGGCCCGAGCTGCCCACCAGCCCGCTGGCGTTGGAATATGTCAATGACTTTGATTTGATGAAATTCGAGGTGAAGAAAGAGGCCATGGCGGGGCTCGACCGCTCCAACATACGGCAGTGCAATCGCCTCCAGCCGCAGGGCTCCGTGTCCTCCACTCCGATCAGCACCCCCTGCAGCTCGGTGCCGTCCTCCCCGAGCTTCAGCCCCACGGAGCAGAAGAACCATCTGGAGGAGCTGTACTGGATGCCCAGCGGCGCGTATACGCAGCAGATCGATCCGCAGACGCTAAGCCTGACGCCCGAAGACGCGGTGGAGGCTCTGATCGGTGCCACGGCGCACGGCCATCCTCCGCCCCCTCATGTGCAGCAGCAGTTGCAAGCAGGAGGCTTCGAGGGATACAGGGGAGCGCACCATCACCACCACGGCCATGCGCAACAGCAACAGCAGCAGCAGCACCACCACCAACACCAACACCAACAATACGGCGCGATCCCCCATCACCAAGATGACATGCCAGGTCACCAGCATCACCACCACCTGCACCACCACCACAGTCAGGACCCCGACAGCCCCTCTCCTACCTCGCCTGGGTCCCACCAGCAGCTCCACCACCGTCACCACCACCACCACCCCGGCCAGCAGGGTCACCACGGCGCGGGGGGCGGCCTGAGCGTGGAGGACCGCTTCTCCGACGACCAGCTGGTGTCCATGACCGTGCGCGAGCTGAACCGTCACCTGCGGGGCTTCACCAAGGACGATGTGATCCGCCTGAAGCAGAAACGCCGGACCCTGAAGAACCGGGGCTACGCGCAGTCGTGCCGCTACAAGCGCGTACAGCAGAAGCACGTGCTGGAGAACGAGAAGACGCATCTCATCAACCAGGTAGAGCAGCTCAAGCAAGAGATCAACCGGCTGGCCCGAGAGAGAGACGCCTACAAACTCAAGTGCGAGAAACTGAGCGGAGCGAACGGGTTCCGCGAGGCAGGATCCACGAGCGACAACCCGTCCTCTCCAGAGTTCTTCATGTGAGTGTGTGTTTCCTATGCCTGAGAGACTCTGCGCTCATTCAGATAACAGCAGTACTCACAGTAGAAGAATAATCCACAAGAAATAATAATCTCATATGTAATCATCGCCACCGATCTTGGCAACTAAAATGCGAAGAACATGTTAGAATGTTTTCTGGGAAATGTAGATTAGCTGCTTGTAGTAGGACTTTCAGCCCTTTCGTAGAGATCTCACAACAAAAAGAAAAGCGAATAACTGGCTTTTGTATTTAGGATAACTTCAGATAAAACCTTCTTTCCATCATCTGGTTTGTTCTCGGTTGTTCAGGAAAAAGAAAGTAATAATAAAAAAATGTTTGTGCTGAGCGGGGACAGAAACTTTGGACTTTTTTCCCACTTGGCCAGAAAAGTTGAGAGCGCCACAATATGCAAAACCTCCCTTTCTTCTCCTGCGTAACCCGCCCGAGTGAGGCGACAGGGGGAACTTTATGCAACATCTCATTGGTTTATTGCCTGCTTGGTTATATATAGATATATATGTAAAAAAAACAAAAAACAAACAAACACATAAATCTGCATTAAGATATTAATCCTGCATGCTGGACATGTATGGTAATAATTTCTATTTTGTACACTCTCTTTCTTTCTTTCTTTCTTTCTTTCTTTCTTTCTTTCTTTCTTTCTTTCTTTCTTTCTATTCATTATGTATCATAAAGAGCATGTTTTTGATCTTAAGCTCTTTTTTTGGGGGGGGATATGAGACTGGCTCTCCGGTCGCTCATTGTATGGGTTCATTTGGACTTGTAAATATATGCAACAGCAAACCTACAAACCGATATCGAAGAGCTGATTGTTTTCCAAACGTTTCTGATTAGCTTCATGTTTTGGGAATGGATTTCCAGTAACGGGCATTTTGCAGTTGCGTTTAAAGCAAGCAAACTTTGTAAAAGAAGCGCACTTTCTGGGGTAATGATTTTGGTATTGGCAGAATATTTTGATTGTTTCTTTGTTTGAGCAGAAACCGCCTTTGAGGAAGACATACCGCGCACGCACATTTAGTCATAGGTGAATTTAAAGCACGCCTTTCATTTGAACTGGTGCTCATAGTCTCACGTCTAGTTGTAGCAAGACACAAGTGTGTGTGTGTGTGTGTGTGTGTGGTTTCTTTCTTTTTTTCTTCTTCATGCAGGCTGTTGCATAATCTATTGCTATTCTATAACATAAGCAATACTTATAGGTCGTATATTTTTTGATGGGTAGGATTCCAACGAACGGGCACACTTCCATCGACATTTTGTTGAGCTATATGAGCTGCCAACATTTCAAACTCTAGTTATTATAATCCAGCTCGAGGGTGTAGGCTTCCTAAATCAGGGGTTTGTGTATTATTGCCTAACATGAAAACTACGCATGCATTTCAATGGAGAGTTTCAATGGTCGATGTTAAATGTTTTCCTTCATTTTTTTTTCTGCCGGTCAGTAAAAAATAAGGGATTCAGGTTCTGCATAATCTCAAAATGAAAAAAAAAAAAAATTATATGTCTCATGTTATTGTTCTATTGTTTTTTTTTGTTTTTTTTTAACTACGCATGCATTTCAATGGAGAGTTTCAATGGTCGATGTTAAATGTTTTCCTTCATTTTTTTTTCTGCCGGTCAGTAAAAAATAAGGGATTCAGGTTCTGCATAATCTCAAAATGAAAAAAAAAATATATATATATGTCTCATGTTATTGTTCTATTGTTTTTTTTTTTTTTTTTTTTTTTTTTTTTTTTTTTTTTGGTTTGTTTTATTATTATGTCGAGATTCTGGTTCTGCTGGCCAGATGCATAGTTTTTATTTTAATGATTAAATTAACAAGCTGTCAGATCATATTGAATAAGCATGGTGCTTGCATCTAAGAAATATTGTTAAAAAGTCATGCATTTACCAATCTTTTTGGTTTATTACTGATTCAACTGTGTTGAAATCAAATGTAAACTGCAGCAGCGGGTTGTTGTTTTGTTTGTTAATTTCATGTATTATGAGGGGATCAATTTTCAAATCTGTTTATATAAATGGAAAAAAGAATAGAGTTCAATTCGGACTGTTCCATTCAGGCTGGTTTCTGTTTCGTTTTTGCTGTTTTTGGAAGAAATGGTTTCCTATTTTGCTTATTAAAGTCAGTGAAATGGCATTGATTTCGTAGCCACTCATTTTATGCGTCAATTCCTGTGTCTGTCAAAATTACGCAACATTCCGGCTTAACTGTATGCCGCATTTTTATCACGCATCACTGCGTTCCAGTAATCAATTAGTTATCAATCAACCTTTATTGAAAATTTGGCAGAGGAACGATATTTCCGTGGGGTTGTTCGAGCGGGTGGTGTCCTGCAGACTGTCTCTCGCTGAACTTTGAGCTCAAACGACCCACATGCAGAAATGCGCTCTCGCTGATAACGCCGGGACTCGTATTCGAGGGTTAAACTGGCGTTTTATTTAAACAGAATTACATATAGACCATTACGTGGTAAGAAAAAGATTAAAAAATAATAACAAATCAAAGACACGTCTTCTTTTTCAGAAGTTGAAATGCTTTTTTATTAGTTTATAGCGGGTTACTTAAACAGGCTATGACATACAAGGATGTTTTAGACTATTTTACATAATTTGAAAAAAAAGAGAACATTGAAGCTAAAAGCACTCTCGCTCTCTCTTGGTGTGTGTTTAGGCCTTCAGTTGTGTTGCGCCCTGCAGGATCTGCAGCGCATGCAGAAATCCGGCGCGCACGTGTGCTCGGTAAAATGAGATCTTTGACCTTGCGCTCAAAGCCCAGACTGTGGGAACAGGACAATTAACCCTTCCGACACCCGACACAACAAGCAGTTTCAAACTTATTTAAAGACTAGTCTGGATATCTGCTAATATTTATATATATATATAAATTAGGCGCATTCGGTTATAGGCCGGTGTGATAACACGCGGACAATTCTAAACAGATATAGTATGTATATATGTAACTACACTCTGAGAAATACTGGGTTGTTTCAACCCAATGTTGGGTCAAATATGAACGAACCCAAATGTTTGGTTAAAACGCTCATTTAAAAATGTAACCAAAATTTAACCCAACAGTTGGGTTAGTCCATATTTGACCCAACATTGGGTTGAAACAACCCAGCATTTTTTAGAGTGTATAGTTTACTCTCATAGTGCAAAGTTCTTACTGAGAGATTATTTTGAATCAATGCATACCTTAAAATCCTAACTGTGAAAAAGCTATCGAACATTTCCATATTTTTGCCTATATAAAAAATAGATAGCGTTCAGTATTGTCTCTTGTCTTGTATGCCGATAATAATAATAATAATACAAAAGCTCCAGAAAGTAGACATCCAGTTAAGCACTGATTTCTAACTAACATCATTCCATGTTAAAGAGGATTCAGAAATGGATGAACGTTTGGCTATACTAGCGCCCAGCACATATGGTCTTTACAGTAAGTTAAGCCTGTTTTGAGAGCTTTGCAGCTCTTGTCCAGAGCACGAGAGAAGGACAAGGGAGAGTGTTGTTAGGATTTCCTGACGGTTTTCAGTTTCTGGTGTCAGAACATTATCTGCCATGTGTCTGCACAATCTCAAGGGCAGGGCAAAAGTATAGCGAGGCCTGAGCCAAGAGCACAGCTCCCACAACAACCTATATTAAAGACCACATTATTGCCCAATAACCCACCCGTAATAATAATAATAATAATAATAATAACATTACTGACTGTATTCATAGAAGACATGCAGTGCAAAGTGTTTATTTCATAATTCTTGTATTTTATTGTGCTCATGCAGTACTAGTGATGTAAGCAGTGAACGCTGTTATGGGAATATCAATTAAAATGTGCTGCAATTAGATTTCATCGTTGTAAATATCGACAGAGATAATTGCGCAGTCAAAAAAGGAACATGCATAGACCAAGCTTTTACATTCTCCTTAGGATTAAATGTTCACGTATTATGAAATTTCAGTGTCAAATGGAAAAAATCAATTACACTCACTGTTGCTTTTGTTCAATAAGCTCGCAAATTGTTATTGATTCTAATCGTTAGCATCTTCTGTACACTGTAGAGTGGAATGCTGTTTCTTGATTTTTTTACATTTTTTATTATATATTCCTCTTTGCGCAAAGATACTGCATGCAAAGAAAAGAGCAAAAGAAGGAAGGGAAAAGAGTAAAAGTAAGTAGAAGGGTATGAGTATGATAGAATGTGAAACGCATTGACGTACTGACCCCAGTGCACTTGAAAGCCCTGAGACCCGAGTGCTACTGGCATGACTTTCAAGTACTTGTGTAGAACAGGTGTACACGCAGAATATGCATGCACAAATTCTGTCACCGAAGACTGACGGAAACACGCACAGAATTGTAATGCAACGGCGGCATGCATATCAACAGTCATGCAATCAGATCACATACGTGCACGCACGCAGATTTACACAGCATTACAGATGAAGAGAAACACATACATTCTTCCACCCTAACTCATAACAGCATACACTATCTGTCATACGTAACTAGAGAGAAGACCTCACAAATCCATACAGCCTCACCTCAGACTGTCAGATGCTGCTATCAAAGGAGATTTCACTAATCGTCCTCGCGCCAAGGAGAAGCTCGAGCTTAACATTGAAGCGTCAACACTCACCACTTTTGCTTTGTCTTGTATTTCAAATATTTATATATCAGTTTCCCTTCACAGGGCTATTATATGTCGCTCAGAAAGTATGGGTCAGACTGCAAAGTTACACGCTGAAATTTAGAACTGATGCTATAATAGTTATGGACACTTGCATTTTTTTATTTTTAAATTTTTTCAGAAAAAGTGGCATCTTTTAGGGTTTTGAACACATCATAGGCCTAATTTCTAAAAACCACTGATGGTTGACTGTGTCAACGTTATAACAGTGTTTATAACATATTTATGACAATGCATTGTTGTATAATAAAACATTTTGATGTGCTGAAAAAAAATGCTTATTCCAAATAGAACATTCAGGTTAAGATAATCACAAGCTGTTTGCATGGAAATTTATTATTCAGATTGTCTTAGTTTGGATAATCGCATGCATATGCAAAACTAGTAAATAAATGGCTGTTCTGGTTTCAGTTCAGTGTAATTCTAATCTGAATTTCAGGAGGAAGAATTCAAACTGCTATAAACATTTCATTCATAACACGACTTGAACAACAGGATTCAACTGTACAATTTCTAGTTCCATGGTATCTTACCACTTTCTATATGTCTTGGTATCTCACCACTTGTTAAATTCTATTTATATTCTCATTCCTCATCTTGCACTAACTACAA